TTGCTTGTTTATGTAGCCTTTAGCTATACATATGGACTCTTATGAAATTATGTTGGTCCATTTAATCTTTGGTTATACTTTCCTTTTGGGTGTTTAAGGCCATACAGTTAAACCAGATTTATTTTTAAATAACCAGATAAACCGATTTATTTTTACTGTTAAGGTCGTTTGAGGATCTGTTCCTCAAGGGTCACATGGGCTTGGGAGGAGCCCCTGGCTCCTTTCTTTTACCAGTTCCACCTAAGTGAAGATAAGTCAAAGGTCCTGCTCGACCATGGTTGGCTTCGCTTGGAAGCATGGAGGAAATTATTCCTCTGTGTTGACCCTCTTCTTTGTAGACTGGACACTGGTTCAAGTCCATCTGATGGGGTCTCCTCGGCCTCCTTGATCAAGAGGACAAGTGACCCACCACCATTATAGGACATTTTGAGAGATGCTCATAGTCCCCTGGAACTAGTCGATCTAGGAGGGCAAGGAGCAAAAAGTGTCCTTTATGTTCCTCTGACCAAATTATTATAGGCCTCAAAGTATGTCTGTTAAACACCCAAGATTAGTTCCACCATTCTGGTACTTTTATTTACTGTGTGTCATGTAGATAAATCTTGGGCAAAGACCAGTTATTCTCGGTCGTTTTCATTCTCTTAAATGAAACAGTGAACAGGGTGAAGTGATACCTAAGGAATGGGAAAAGGTGTGTGTGTGTATGTGTTTGTGTGTATGTGTGTGGGAGAGAGAGAGAGAGAGAGAGAGACAGAGAGACAGAGAGAGAGAAAGAGGTTAGTACTTCAAATTTGTAAGCAACTGAAATAAACTGATTTTTTAAATGAACAAAGGACCTGAATATACATATTTTTAAAGAAGATATGCAGATAGACAGCATCTCTAAAAAAATGCTCAATATCGTTAATCATTAGAGAAGTGCATACTAAACCCCCATTGAGATGTTGCCTTACGCCTATTGTAATGGCCTTCACCAAAAATGTAAATGGTAAGTACTGATGAAAATGTGGTGAAAGAGAAACCCTTGTACACTGCTGATGGGTATATAAATCAGTACAAACATTGTAGAGAATAGTATGATAGTTCATCAAAAAAAATCGGAGTAGGACTGTTATATCTAAGAATGCTATTTGCAGGTTTGTATGGAAAGGAAAGGAATTCAGGATGTTAAAGTGAATTAACGAGAACTATAATGAGAATTCCTGTATTCCCATATTCGGTACAGCACTATTCACAGTAGCCAAGATCCAACTCAATCTAAGTGTTATCAACAGATGAAAAAAATATTTTAATACACAAACATGCAACAGAATGCTATTTAACCTGGAAAAATAATTTTGTATTATACACTAGCATAGATAAAACTGAAGGATATTACACAATCCATAGTGCATTAAGAGGGACTGGAGATATATCCCATAGTGAGATTCGTCAAACAGTTGACTGGAATTTATTTCATTATTTGGAATCTTGGAGAAGATTTAGGCCTTCTGTGCAATGCTAATTATCCCAGATTGGTATTGTGTCTACTATCAGACAGTAGCACTGTGTTCTAAAAATTGATCTAGCTAGCACAAATGTGTGGTTATAATAGGAAACAGTCACAGAATTGCCCTTACACAGTATTATTTTGGGGCATACTTCCTCACTCATAAAAGTAGAAAAGCTGTGTCCATGTAATCTGTGTTTTCACTGAAATGAAGCAATGACTATATGAAAATGTCCACACTGCATAATCCTCCATCACCTGTAGCTATATTTGTTCTGCACAGAGCATTCTTTTCTCTGGTTCTCTCATCTTGTTTCTATAAGAAAAGAATGTGAGTTTGCAGCAGCTGTTGAATAACACACACATGTATGGGGCTATACTTACTTTTTTCCTGACTTAACTACTATTGCCGCTGCTTACTGAGCAGACTGCTCCGTTTCTTACCTCCCCATATTCTTTACTATCCATGCCTACTTCTTAACTTCACTTCTCACAGCATTTACTAAAGATAAATCTCACGTTTGTTTGAAAGTCTGAAGTATACCTTAAAAATGCATTTTACTGTTCTTAAAATAATAAAATTAATGCTAGTATTCATATAGGAAATAATTTAGTATATCTTCTTAAATTCGTACATTTAAAAGATGTTTTAACAAAGGGAACAGGAAAACAGCACATTTATTTGAGATTATACTATTTATCTTCATGTGTCCTAAAAAAGAAGTCAAGTGATTAAGTTACTATTATTTTAGCAGTTTGATCTAAGAAAATTAAAACTTTGATGGCAGATGAGCTCAGGTGATCAGGACATTGATTTGGGAGCACTTGGCATAGCAGTTCATTAACTACTGTTAATTATGTATGATTACTCCCGAAAAGCTATGGTTCCTGCATCTTTTAGATTGCTTCATTAAATCATTAGTTTTCATGGAGGTAACTAAGCCTGACGTAATTAAGTCATCTCAGTCTCCATAGATTTTTCTTCCCATGATGTCAAGAAGCTAAGCAAGTTAATATAAGATGTTGTAACTCAATCCCTTTTTATGTATTGACTTCATAGTTTAGGATTATCTAATATTAATTTGATATTTTTTATATTAAGCAGTCTAATAAGTTAATTGTTGTTTATTTAATGTTTTAGCATACATTTTTTACTTCCTGTATAACAAGCCCATTTATGTGTTTAAACCATTTCTTACCAACAGTCCTCTGTCCCATGGCTACACAAAACTGCTTCAATTTGTCCAGAACATCATTTATACTGAAGGATTTGATGGATCTAATCCCCAGGTATTGAATACTTTGAAAGTCTTTTATACTAATGTATATAATGTTGTTTTCAAGTTCATTAGGGGTAGACTCAGAAAATCTTAGAAAAATCAATAGTGAGTAACCTGTTTTCATACATAAACAGTATAAATAGGCAGAAACTCTTAATGTATATTTAGGATTTTCACTAGATTCTCAGTAAATGTACATAAAATGTACACATGATCTGTCAATGCTGTTTGTTTTTCAATATGTTTGTATCTTCTAGAATTGATAAGCAGTTATGTTTTGAAAATGACTACTAACACTGCAAGCTTTATATTTTTCTTTTTAAAATTTCAGTGTTTTTGGCATTCAAGCCTTAATTCTAAATTATATGTAAGAATCATCACAGTATTTTATTTCTTATTACATTATGCTTTGAATTGTTTCTTTGAATAAAATATATATTTTATTTGCTGTGTTAAAATATGTTGTACCTAAACTATTCTCTGTTGCTCTAGTTTTTTTCTAAACTTTCCCTAAATTCCCACTAGTGAAACTGTTTCATTAGGTCTAACTTAAATAAATGAAGAAATTTTTAATTCTAGATAGGACTTTCCAATATTGTTCTCAGTTATTTTAATTGCACTTGCCACTAAACAGGTGGTATTACATCTATATTATTTTAGCAAATACATTTCCAAAGCACTCTTTTTATTGAAGACAGAGAAACCCAAAAGTAATTTTGGCATCTTTAGCTATATTTGATGTTAATTTATAGCTTTTTAAGGTCTTTTTTAAATCAGTTTCACTGTTGAATTTAATAAGTTCTCCGTGGCAAAATGAATAATGTTTAAATTAGCCTTGCCTGTCAGTCCCCTAGCAAGTTGAAAATATTTGTGTGCCTGGGAAAGCATCTATTTGCAGATGGCTTTCAAGTGCTACCACCTTTGTAATGATGGCTGGTATCTGATGCAGTTTAATTTTGCTCATTATTGGTCCATTTTTGGTCCCAGCTAAGATTTATGGATGCCATATCTTTCTGTTGGTGCCAGTGCTCGTCTGGAGAGGCAAATTGGTCCCTGACAGACACCTCTCCTGACATGCTGTGGTAGCTATGGAAACAGGCATGTCACAACAGTTCCTGTGGTACAGTGTGCAGAGCTGCTGCTCGTGCAGGATGATGACACCACTTCTGAGAATGAGAAATTTTATAAATTATGAAAAAGTAAAGGGACTAGCTTCTAAGGAATATGCATACATACATCACAGAGACATGCACCCTAAGAATCCCTAATAAGTAACCTTATATTGAAATAGAATGAAAATTCATTGTTTTCTAAATTGTTTGTGTGGAGGGGAAAAAACACCATTTTCAAGAAACAGTTTATTCTTGATAATTGTTAGGAAATAAAATGGCATACGTTTGGCTCTCTAAACATGGGAGGTTCTGTAACTACGTACTTTCATAAAAGAGTGGTTCAAGTTGAGGTAAACATTCCTATAGTGAATGCTTAAAATTTTTAAATTAAAGTTAAGCATACCAATAAGTTATTATAAAAAATATAATTCCAGCTTGTAAGAACTAAAATATAGTTAATAAGTTTCTAAATAATTAAATTACAAATTACATTGTTTGCTCTGTTACCTGGTCCATCTCAGAACCTGCAGATCAAATGCATCAATGAAGGAATACTTTTAAAAATGCTATTCTTAAGTCAGGCGTGGTGGCACACACCTTTAGTCCCAGCACTCAGGAGGCAGAAGCAGGAGGATCTCTGTGAGTTCAAGGCCAGCCTGGTCTTCAAAGCGAGTTCTAGGCCAGCTAGTGCTATACAGAGACTCTGTCTCAAAAAGAACAGAAACAGCAAAATACTATTTTTTAGTTGAGTCAAAATAATATTCTAATGTTGAAATAAATCCTACTTTTAAAATTTTTATCTTCTGTGCACTTTGAAATAAACAAATCATTGGAAATAACAAATATATTCTAAGAGACAGAATATTATAATCTACTTTACAATTAATGTTAATATTAAGTTAGTCTATAGCTCATCTATAAAAATATTTGAGGTGTAGACATTTAAAAATTACTATCATAGTTTTGTTTGTTTTTAATTTTTAAATTTCAGATGTTTAAGAACTATAAAAATGGAATTAGAATATTGATTTTACTTAGAATAATAGATTAAATGGTAGATAGTTTAACAGGAATAAATTAATTTATTGTATAGCTGTCAGCTAAATTTTGTTTTTTAGAAACTAACATCCCAGATAGAGCAGATAGAGATTTATAATTCAGCTTTTGTTTTTGCAATTACCATTCTATTTATCAATATGTGAATATATTCTTCATACTGAAGTAACATGCCTCGTTATGTTCTGACTGACTGAAATATCTTACCACTCATTATTTGGCTCAGAATCTAGTTCCTTTTCTCTGTATATGTTAGTATGTCTGAATATGTTAGTATGTCTGCATATGTTAGTATGTCTGTAGGCTTTTTTTTTTTTGTATGAGTATATTGCCTGCATGTATGTGAGTGCACCCGTGTCATGCAGTGTCGTAGAGGTCAGAAGAGGGCTTCGGATTCCCCTGGAACTGGAGTTAAGGACAGTTCATAGCCGCCATGTGGATGCTGGGAATTGAACCCGGGGCCTCTGTAAGAGCAGTCAATGCTCTTAACCACTGGGCCATCTCCCCAGCCCCAGTATGTCTGTAAGCTTTTTGTAACTCTCCTCATTCCATAACACAATAGTTCAATAGTTCCGTCTAAACATTGAGCAAGTCCTTTCTGATATAATAGTCTGTAGTAGGTGGGGTAAATAGCAATGATTTGTAGTTCTGAATTCTACTGCCCTCTTCTCATTTTATTCTGTTTATTTATTTCACTAAAGTTCTTGCTCTCTATTTGTATTTTTTTCCCACCAATCTATCTCTACAACTTTTACTCCCAGCTTCTACATTGCTCTCTCTGTTGAGAACCTAACCTTGACCAATGCGAGTTCTGGGAATTGAACTCAAGTTTCCTGCAAGAACAGTAATGCATCTCCAGGCCCCATATTTGTACTTCCAATAATATCTTCCCTTGCGCATGGTTATACTTCATTTAATTAAGTAACATCTAAATACAATTAAATGATTTTTGTGGACCATGGAAATCATAACAAACTAAAAATAGTTGATCTTAACTGCTCAGCCATTTCTCCAGCCCATTGAAAAACATTTCATCTATGCTAAATATATACATTTTTCCTTATCCTTATTCTTTGAACAATTCAGTACAATTACTATTTATATTGCATTTACATTTTATTGATTATTATAATTAAGTAACCTAGAGATTATTTAAAGTGCACTTGTAGATGTTCTCAAGTTATATGCAAATATTTCATCACTATGTATAAAGGACTTGGACACCCACAGATTTGGGAATCCACAGGAGTCCCTACAGGTGATTCCTCAGGGCTACTAACAACTTTATGCTGTCCAGAATCATACACCTACTTACATAGTCCAGGCTATTTGTATTTGTATCTGTATTATTTATCCTACCTCAATTGTTGTTTGTTCTTTTGGCTTTTCAACGTTAGATTAATTTTAACTACCTTTGTTATAAATTGTGTTTTAATTTTTTAATTTAATTTTATATGTATGAGTGTTTTGCCTACATGTATGTAAGTGCAATACCTGTGGAAGCCGAAAGATGATGTCAGATCCCCTAGAAACTGTAGTTAAAGTCAGTTGTTAACTGAGTGGTTACTGGGAACCAAACCCGAATCTGCAAGAGCAGCCAGTATTCTTAACCACTGAGCCATGTCTCTGTTCCCATAAGTTGTGTTTTTAAAAAAGGAATACACAGATTCAATTTTTATCTGTTCTATCAGGAAAATTTAGTGGATTGGGTGGTAATTATTTGAAATTTTATTAGTGGTATTTTATAGCAATGGTAATACATTTTAACATCTTGTTTCATTAGAAAGCACATTCAAACTGGCACATAACTGAAGTCATGGCTTTAAGAAAGAACATTTTATTTCTCCCACCAGAAACATAATAATGGTCTTCCAAATATTTTCATGTGCTGTGTTTAACACCTTTCTTTTGCCCAGAAATATTGCTAGCATTTACAAAACATTTGTTCAATTAAAATAACCCAAACAGCAGAATTTATAAACACATATGTTAGCAAATGCTGACAACTGTCCTAGCTTTTTGTAAATTTAAAATATTCTTTTCCCCAAAATTAATGGCCACCATTATTATGACCTTAATGTCAATAGTCTCTGGTGGTAAACGTTCACCTGTCAAGGTTTATACAAAAAGTTGAACTTAATATAGTAAAAACACCTTCAAGAAGGAAAAACTACAGGCAAGTATAAAGTATAAAACCAACCAAAAAGTTACAAATTTTTAAGTATCTTTCACACAAAAGATCCAAGTTGGTGATACAAAATGAAGTGAGAAATATTAAGCAATTCATAGTTTATGGGAGGATTTGCAGAATTTTCTAATGCCTAATTATGCATTTGTAAGCATTTGAAATACCATTTTTCTGTACTATTACCTTGGATTTCTTATATGTTGTTTTGGGGTTTTGTTTTGTTTTTAGTTTTCTGAGTCAGGATCTTACTATATACACACCTGACTAGCTCTTGTTTGTAGATTGATTATACTGGCCTTGAACCTTCAGTGATCCTTGTGCCTCTTCCTCCTAAAGGCTAGGAATACAGGCATACACCACACCCAGCTCTTCCATGCTTTTGTAACTATCACAAACATAATTCTTGAGTCACTTAAAATTTAGACAAAGTTTAAAATTTTAGTTTTATCTTGACCTGCAAAGTTTTCAAAAGTGGGGGGAAAAATGTGTGTGGGTGTATGTGTGTGTGCATGCCTGTGTTTTTTGTTTGTTTTTATTATTTTTATTTTATGTATATGAGTGTATTGCCTGCATGTAGGTAAGTGCACCCGTGTAGTGCAATGCCCACGGAGGACAGAAGAGACTCTCAGATCCCCTGGGACTGGAGTTACGGACAGTTATTAGCTGCCATGTGGGTGCTAGGATTCGAACCCGCATCTTCTGCAAGAACAATCAGTGTTCTTAACTGCTGAGCCATCTCTCCAGCCCCGCATGCGTGTGTTTATAGGCAGTGTCTTGCCATTTTGCCAGGCTTGCCTTGAACACATAGGCTCAAACACTTCACCTACCCCAGTCTCCTAAGGAGCTGGGACTCTAAGTATGCCTCCTTGCCTGGTTGTGCCCTAATATTTTCTATACTCTAGTAATCGCTAGTATTTCCTATACGCTGCCTTCTTACTATTTCTGTATAAGTTTTTACCACATCTATTAACATTATCTTCCTGATATTGTAAATAAAAATAAGAAGTAACAGATTAAAAAAAAAATCCTACAGATGAGCAATGCCTCTGTATTTACCACCCTCTCACTTTCTTTTAGAAAAAACAGAAAAACATTTTAAGAATAGGAATTCAGAATCTTGGCTCACCATTATGGGGAGATGACATTTGCTGTACAGAAGACTGTGACAGTAGTCACAGACTTACCAGGTTCCTCTACATTCTCCGTGGTCTTCTAAGAACATCACTGTCAGCCTGTATCATCACGATGCCAACACATCTTATCCAGGTAAGACCTTGTATATAATCTCTCTTACTCAGTGAAGAAATGGTGTGACATGTGGTTTAAATATCCATTTCCTTGATAATCAATGCCCTTGGCCATCATTTTATATGCTTGCTAGCCATTTAAATATTTTCTTTTGTCTTTCTTTTATCTGTTTTTGTTGGGTACGCTCTTTATCAAGTTGTAAAGTTCTTTACATGTGGCATTACTATGCCAACATTACAATTACCTGAATAAAACAGCCTGCTTCTTAAATTTAGTTTTTAAAAGTGGGCTCAAATTCAGAGGACATTCGTTCCCCCCAGATATCTCTTGGAACTCTCTGTGCCCTGAAACTGTGCTTCTGAGTCAGGCTTCACTCATATTTTATTCAAAACCATTTCTCCAGCTTCAACTGCACAACTGTAAGCCCTGATTCACCCTTGTCTTATCATCAAACATTCTTTCTCAATCTTGCTTTTTCATCTCTAGTTCTCAGGTATAAGCTTCCTTCCCAATTTTCACTGTGCTCAATGAAGACGGTGCACTGTCTTTTAGCACTTTGATATGTTAATTCTCAAGTATACTCACATTTGGTCATTATCTTTTCTGGGCAGGGTAGCAAATTGAGGTTCCCAGGAAATAAAATCAGGTGCCCAGGTCACAAGAGCACATGGTTCAATGAGTTTGCCATGGTTAATTAAAAGTCCTTAGTTTTACATTATGTCCATTTTATGTCATTCTCACATTTATGTAGTTTAGCTAAACTAATAAACATTCTCAAGAAATAAGGCTTTAAATCTTAATAAAATTTGTCAGTTTTTAATTGGGTGATGATTTCTCTCCCTACCTTTCAATTTGATCTTTGCCCTCTCTAAAATCTTTTCCTGTTTTCTTCTAAATGGTTTATAGATTTTTTTTCTTGAATTAGTGAATCAATGTATTCCTATTTCAATTTTTTAAATATTTTATTTATTTTTACTTTGTGTGTATGAGTGTATTGCCTGCATGTATGTGAGTGCACCCGTGTTGTGCAATGCCGTGGAGGTCAGAATAGGTTGTCAAATTCCCCTGGAACTGGAGTTAAGGATGGTTCGTAGCTGCCATGTGGGTGCTGGGAATCGAACCTGGGTCCTCTGCAAGAGCATTCATTGCTCTTAACTGCTGAGCCATCTCTTCAACCCCCCATTTCAATTTTTTATACAAGTGTAATCTGTGTTTTCAAACAGCTTTTAGTTTCTCTAGTTAACATTCTGTTTATTTATTGACTAAACGTGATGAAATTCACCGGTTTTCTTTTTACTTTGTCACCCAGACTGACCTGGAACTGAGGCTCTTCTCTTGCCTCAGCCTGTGACATGCTAAGGGTATAGATCTGGACCACCATGTGCAGCATTTGTAGTACTTTTGATTAAAGGACTTATCATCAGCTCAAATACTTGATTTCATATTATCTTAAATATCTTATATGTTACAATATTGTATGAATGCAAGGCCAGACATTTATACTTTATATGGTTCTGTGATAATGTTTTATTAAATGTGAATAAAAAATTATTAGCACAGTAGCTAGGCTTTTCCTAGCTAGATGATCAGTAAATGTCAGTTTAATGAATATTAATTCCTTTTAGTTGGTTGGTTGGTTTTGGGGGTGGGGTCATCTTTTCGTTGTTGTGAGACAGTCTCCCTGTAGCCCCAGCTGACCTGGAACTCACTATGTAGACCAGACTGGCCTTGATTTCATAGAGATCCACCTGCCTCTGCTTCTTCTAGTGCTGGGATTAAAGGCATCAGCCACCATGCCTTGTCCATGAATATTAATTCTTACTTGGAAAATTATTTCTAATACCTAATTGCTGAAATTGCTTATATGATTTAAGTAGTTCTAACATACCCAGACCATTCCTACAAATGATAGCTTAATGAAAATATCATTTACTTATATTAACTATAGCAATGAACATATCTCAAAACTATGGCTGAGAAGTTTGGCATTAATAAGAGAATTTTTACTCATTGGCTAATAGGATTTATTTTTAAAACATTTTATTATTTTTATTTTATGTGTATGAGTATATTGCCTGCATGTAGGTTAAGTGCACCTGTGTTGTGCAATGCCCACGGAGGACAGAAGAGGCCATTGGATCCCCTGGAACTGGAGTTATGCATAGTTGTTAGCTGCCATGTGGGTACTGGGATTTGAACCCAGGTCTTCTGCAAGAACAACCAGTGTTCTTAACCGCTGAGCCATCTCTCCAGCCCCAGGATTTATTTTTAATAGTCATGAGAGGTTAACTCAGTTTTCCTTTACAGGCTTTCCACAGATAATTCTTAAACCTCAGTTATGACCATCTTATATTTATATAAAGATTGTAGGGGAATTTTGTCTAATCATATGAGATGTGCTATACACGCTTGTATTGTTTTATTGTTAATCGTATTACTATAAAATGACTAAGAGTAGCTCAGTTACATGTGATAAGCTTCTTGATTTTGGTGATACATAAATCTGAAACAGACATGAGATGCTGGTGAAATTCCTGTTCTTCGTACTTGTACTGCAGCTGTGTTGTTAGTACAACTTCTTGTGAGACTCTAGAACTTCATAAATAAACTCTTCAACAATTGAAGATTAAGGAAAAAGTTCCATTCCAGACAATTGAGAAGAATATGGAAGTAGGCTTCCTCTTTATTATTGGAAGCAAAAAAAAAAAATCATGATGTAACTGTATTTGCGTATATAATTTTACATATTATTCCAAAAAACCTATGCTAAAAAATTTTTTAAGGAAAAACAAAAATGAGAGCATTTTTTTTAAAGCCATGTGTTATACATGATCATCACTTAAAGAGATTCTGGCCTCATTCTGGAAGAGACTCCAGCTTGTGTCAGGAACAGCAGGCGGAGACAGTACCAGGTGAGGGCAGCTCAGCCGTCCATACCACAGGCCAAAGACAAATGACAAGGTCATGGGGCTGTAGGAACATGAAGCAAGATTTTTATTTTTAAACTTTACATATTTTTAAGCCTTTGTGCAACTAAAACAATGTGGTTTAAATTTATGATTTTTAACATATTAATAAAGAGTACTTTAAAATAGAAATAACAGCATTTAAGGTCAGACTGCTGATATGTTTAAAATTAAGCATTATGACCAAGAATTAAAACATTTTCCACATGGGGGCTGGAGAGATGGTTCAGCAGTTAAGAGCACTGGCTATTCTTACAGAGGACCCACGTTTGGTTCCACCAAATGGCAGCTAACAACCGTCCATAACTCCAGTTCCAGATCCAACACCCTCTTCTGACCTCTGCAGGCATTACATGACATGGGTGCACTTACATGCAGACAATACACTCATACACATAAAATTAAGATAATAAATAAAATGTTTTTTAAATGTACCTCATGATAGAATAATATGACCTTTAAAAAGAAAACTATATAATCTTCTAATATTTTCTCATTTTAATACAATTTTACTAAACTATCATACAATAGGCTTCTGACCCTAATATCAATTGAGCTATTAAAAAATTAACTTCCATAAAAATCATGTATTTCATTTTAATACAATTTTACTAAACTATCATACAATAGGCTTCTGACCCTAATATCATTTGAGCTATTAAAAAATTAACTTCCATAAAAATCATGTATTTAGCAAGGAATAGCTCATGCCTTTGTTTTCAGCGCTCAGGAGGCAGAAGTAGACAATCTGTGAGATCGAGATCAGCGTGGTCTACAAAGCGAGTTCCAGGCCAACCAGGGCTACATAGTGAGATCCTGTCTCAATAAAAAAAAAAAAACACAAAAAAACATATATTTGTTTTTATATTAATACATTTAGAAAATATAAAACAGTCATGATATAAGCAGAGGGTAAAACTCTTGATAACTTATAAAGACTGGCAGGGAAAATATAACTAAGGACACAAAAAAGAAAGAGAATACTGGAACCAATGTGCTTAGAAATTGAGTCAGAAGTACCTAGAGAGGTGGCTTGATTGGTAAGTGCTAAAGCCAACAGCAGTGATGGATCACTTGTAATCCCTGCACTGGTGAGGAGAAGGCAGATGGATCCTGACTTAATCGGCAAGACCGTCTCAGAAAACAGGGCAGTGGTAACTAAAGAACAATACCCAAGGTTGACTCCTGTTTTCTGCACATGCATGCACGCCTGCACACACAGGAGCACACACACAAGAAATGTAATTGGAGGCATATAAATACATAAAACCAAAAGATTGAGTTTATTTGGAAATTTATACAGTGATTATGCACATTGTACAGTGATTACATGGACCAACTGTGGTCTAAACGCTAAATATTAATTCATTTAATCCTTATGCTAGCCTGATGTGCGCACACACAGCATTTTACTGCTCCCATAACCACCATGCTATGCTGTGTATTCCATATGTACTGACATAGAGTCAGAATGAAGAAAAAGACTGGGTAAAAAGTAATATTCAATGATGTTTTTTTTAAAGTCTGTATGTTTGGAGGCAGATAGAATCAATAAATTATTTGATATTAGTCAAGGGTTAACTCACCAGCTTTATCTTCTTAACTGTAAAAATTAGGTTAAAAATACCCAGGCTGAGGATGAGAAATGCCAAGTATTGACAACTAATAGGCATTTAGCATGTGGGAGCAATCGTGATTTTCACTGTGTATTTCTTAACAGACCTTCAAAATTGAGAATCTGAGCACAGAGATCAGTCAAGAAAAATTACAGTGTAAGCTCTGTTGATGCAATAGAAGAATGGGCAGTGTAGCTCAGTGGGAAAACACATGCTTAGCATGCTCAAAATCCTGGGTTCAATTCCCAACGACAAGAGGACAGAAATCTTCAATTTCCTGTCTATTAGAAACCCTGGCAAGATCCTCTCCTGGGTTAGGTAGGTCCAAGACAGGCCAGCATGCACAGATAAAGTTAGATGTGTATCCAGATCTTATCATAACCATGATGCACAGGACTCTTAACCAAGACATCAACTTTTTTTCTACCATGATCAG